AAAAAAAAAAAAAAAAAGCATATAGATAGAAAAATTCGCCACATGACTGGCAGAATTTCATTAGCCTGGAAAATTTTATATTATATTTTCCATGTCACACCGTCCGAAAATACGTCGTCACATACGAGACGTATGTCCGAGGACGTTAATGTAACGAGTCAGACGCCAAGTCTTATCTGTCCAACGTGTGCAATAGATTGGTATTAATATTCTGCGCGACACTTCGTCCAGTCGGATACAATCGAGACCCAATTCATCTTGATATTTGGCCAGGTGAATCAATCGGACTTACCTGAACGCCGCTCGGTTCTCTTGTTCCATTATTCATGAACAGACGCCCGCGCTGATTTTGCTTTCGAAAATTATATTCGCCGCACGATATTCAGCGTTCTGATACGGATAGACATCGTTTGTCGCGACGAGGAAAGTCGGTGAAAATTAGAGAATCGAGGGAAAAATTGGAGTTTTGCACAAGCATAGTTTATATAAAATGGAGCGATTTTTCTGAACTGAGAAATAGCCCTAAAAAATAAATAACCCTCGAGAAAAATAACCGAATCAAAAGTTGAATTGTATTTCAAAATGTTCAGAAATTTAGAAGAAAGAAATTTATATTGCAAAAGTGTGAGATACAGAAAAATAACCGAATCAAAAGTTGAATTGTATTTTAAAATGTTCAGAAATTTAGAAGAAAGAAACTTATATTGTAAAAGTGTGAGATACAGAAAAATAACCGAATTAAAAGTTGAATTGTATTTTAAAATATTCAGAAATTTAGAAGAAAGAAATTTATATTGCAAAAGTGTGAGATACAGAAAAATAACCGAATCAAAAGTTGAATTGTATTTCAAAATATTCAGAAATTTCGAAGAAAGAAATTTATATTGTAGCATACAGATCATAAAAAACAATACAACTTTTAATTTAACTTTTTTTCTCAATCTCATAAGTAGTTTATGGTACTTCGTTTTCAGGACGTATTTTCATGCCTAGGGTATTTTTCAGTGAGAAAAGGAAGTTGAGATCTGCCATTTTGATCACACGAGTCACGTTTGTGCAAAGTTCCAAATTTTGTCAACTTTCCAATTACTCAAGTCCTCCTCTCGGTAAATTACGAAAATATTCAAGCCATTAAAATACTCGACTTATCTCACTAAACTTGTGGAGGAAAAAAGTTGATTTTAAACTAGGATACTGGTTTTTATTTGAACGCTATACGTGAACCATGGCAAGACTGGCGTTTCTTCGTACATTCTATTGCTAAAATGCTAATCGGGAGTAAAAATAGTAAGTATACATGACGCAATTAAGCGAACAGTGTGATACATCGATAATTATTGAAGTAAAAATAAAATTCTATAAAAGATTGTGTGATAATTATTGAAATAAAATTCTATAAAAGATTGTTTACAAAATACCGAATACGTTAGAGAGGATATTTTTAAAATGGCGCACTGAGAAATAACAGAAGTTGAGCATTCGATGGCGCCACTTTACACAGTCGTGTTAAATATATGGACGTTCATAAAATCGTAAAAGGCGAAGTATCCTCCATTCGTACGAATAGAATTATAGATTCGGCGATGTGGCTTAGTTGGTTTTGCATAGATAATTTATGTAAGAAGAGAATTGGCGGATCAATATTTAGAAAGAGCCATGTGTTCCCCGCTGTCTTACTTTGTTTCCCGCGCGTTCTACCTTTCACGTTCTCTCTCCGTGACCTATACCTGTTTTGACAAACGTTTCAATCGATAACCACATTTTAACCTAGTTAAATTGTTCGAAGTGTCTCTTGGAGCTTTTGAAAATGTATCTGTGATCGTACGTAATTTATGATGAATGTTTAATTTTATTCTTTATTCTTAAGTTTATTCATTTCCATATGCTCGTTTGCAAATTATCGAGTTTAACAATTTTGAACGATTGAAAGTAAAGTGAAATAATTACGATATATTTGTAACAGTTTTATGAAATTTCATGATTTGATATTATTTTAATTGTTTTTTTGTTTTGTTTGTCATTCAACATATGCATGCACATATGTATATTTTGCATCTAACATCAGCTGATTGGCGTCGCGATGTAAACTATGTAAAGAACATGGCGTTGTTGTGGAAATCAAACATAACCTATAAACCATTAGAAAACAAATAATGCACGTCGATTTCATTTCAAAGTACAAATGTTGCTGTCATGCTGTTATTTGCTACTCTCGTTAAATCAAGTAGTATCATTTCAAGGTCTCACAAAACGTACATTTCTCATAATTAAATACCACATAATAACTGAAACACTTAATTTCTTTTTATTTTCAAAATGGGTGAGCTCCATTTAACCCTAACAAATGTTTCATAGTAAATAAAACATTAATATAAAATTTTTCTTTTTAGAACTTTTGGACAACTTGAGGCCAGTATCGCCAAAAGTAAGCCATGAAAGAGTGAAAACACCTCTTGGTGTCGCAAACACCGTTATAGAAGAGGAGGAACAACCATTTAAAGAGAGGTTTCTGAAAATTAATGTTCGTCATATCACAGATGGTCAGGTAAGGTTTCAAGTTATTTTTATATAAAACTTCCTATATTTTTTTTCAATGCCTTCACGTTGTTGTTAAACTGTTATTTGTTATTTTCTATTCACAGGGTGTTGTTGGTGGAGTGTTGCTAGTTACACCAAATGCAGTCATGTTCGATCCGAATGTTTCTGATCCCCTTGTAATTGAACATGGTGCTGAGTCTTACGGTGTAATTGCACCAATGGAATTTGTAGTGAATGCTGCAATTTACTATGATATTGCGCATATGCGTGTTGGACACACAAAATCCGGAAACTTGGATAAGAAGCCGGAAATTTATTACATGAAGAAACCTTCACAAAGTGAAACTGTCAAGTGTCAGTCGCCAGAAAAAGAGGAGAATTTTCCGGAATTAACTACGGATGACGCTGAAAATGAGAGCTGTACCGAGAGAGATGGAGATGCTTTTCCAAAGGCCTTTGAGAGAGATCTCGTTACTCCCACTAATCTTCAAAATGTACATCAATTTAAACATTAACGAGACTACATTTTTGCAATGTGATAGTTGTGCTTTTCTTATTCAACTTTTCTTATTTATTAGGAGGACGATACAACGACAACCAAAGAAAAGGAGGCGGAAAAAGAGAAGGAGAAGGAAATTAAAGAGGTGAGCGGTGGTCAAACAAGTAAAACGTTAGAGGAACGTAGACGTTCTATGCTTGATCATCATTGGCCAGTTCCTAGCAAAGATCAATATCCATGGCCTGTCGAGGATGAACAACAAGATTCTTTAAACTCTGACAAAGTGAGATCAATTACTCGTTTTTATGAAAATTCATGCCATCTTCGATTACAGATTGAGATACGATAAACGTTTCTATTTACAGACGGATTCTGCGAAGTCGAAGATGATTCCCGAAGGCGAAGAAGGATCTCTAGTCAAACTGTCATGCCACGACTCTGGTATTGACATACGTGACCCTAATCCCTCTTTCCCAGTAGTTCAGCCCAACCCCACAAAGAAAGTTTATTCAGACGCAGATATTGTCTTATCTTCAGATTGGGTCCCTCCTATTACTATTGCACCGACGAACGTTACAACTGATTTGCTAGATAGCGGTTCTGCCGTTAACGGTAGGAAGAAGGCGAGTTCAGTGTCATTTAGCTTAGACAGTAATAATACGGAGGAACCTGAGAAAGATGAGGAACACAAAGACGACGACAAACAGGAGACTCGTAGGAATAAGGTGATATTACTATCTATCTTTGTCGTCCATTCGATATAATCTTTGTTTTGTAACTGTTTCTGTAATTTGTTTCAGATGTTAAAACGATTGTCATATCCTTTGTCGTGGGTAGAAGGGTTGACTGGCGAGAAGGAAGATGAAAGTAAATCTGGATCTGATAAAGTTCCGAGTCTTCCCAATAGCGCGGATTCTCATCATTCGTCAGTTTTCAGCAAAGTTTTCTCAAGGTGATAACACTTAACTCTGTTCGATTTATAAAATTTTTACAAGGATTTCTTTGTAATTTATATGATATAATAATTGTTCTAAATTAATATCATGCGCTTTTATATTTTACTTTACTATTCGTGTTTGTTAGGAATGAGTAACTCGATGAAAAAAAGAAAAAATTTGCATACAGGGAAGGTTCTCAATGCTCGGGCCTCCTTTATATGGTGTAACGTTTGTCTTCCATGTAATCGCTTTCTGCTGAAATCTTTTAGAAGTTCAAAGTAACATTTACAGCGTGCTCGAGGCTATTCATAGTGAAACACAGTCGCGTACGTGGCGCATAAGCTTGGCAAACATTTCACTTCGTAAAGCACGTTTCATTATGAATATCCTCGTTCATTATAACATAGAATACTAATTAGAAAATTTACGCGCAGAAGCAAGCAGCTTATTTGCATTTGCGAAACGCGCTTTTCGGATAATCTTTCTTTCAATTTCTAAACGGAGTAAACGAATCAAAGGAATGGGCACGTGTAACGTTTCTCAACTCAGTCCAGACGTTGTCTTATACCATCATAGTCCGTTTTTCTCCAATTTTGCTCCTCCGTTCTTATTTTTCTTTTCACGAAATACAACCGACAAATAAATTAGTCATTTAGCTCAAGGTGTGTGTCAATCGACGAGGAGAAATAGAATCAATTGAAATAACAACTTGCCCTGAAATGATCTCTAGCGATTTAATTCAATTTGGCACAAGCTGATTCGAAGACACTTGAGAACACTGGTTATTTTTTCTATTCCATTTTGAAACCGAAATACGAGCAATCAGACTGTGATGGTAAATCTGTGTTAAACATAAAGCTATAACTATAGTTTCCAATATGACTAACAAAGAATATGTAATGGTGGTGGATATAAGCTCGCCGATCAACCTGGTGAGTGACTTTAGCTCGGGCCTGTTTGCTAAAACTCCCAGCGAAGAGAGCGGTGGGGGCGGTAGAGCCGGGGGAACACCTCCGCTTACCGCCTCCTCTCTCTCCCAGGACTCCAGCAATCCTCAGATTTCACCTGGTCCAGGAGGGTTTATGGGGTGAGTTTGGGCCCGGTCATGAACCAGCAAGTTATAATGTATCCACGTTAAAA